TGGACTGTGATAGGGAAGTATAAGATGAAATAAACCCTTTCCTCCCCCAGTTGCTTTTGGTGGTGGTGTTTCATCACAACAATAGAAGCCTAAGGCAAACCCCTTCCTATTCATCGGCTAACCCTGGGGGACCACCGGATTCATGGTGCCTTACCTGTACTTCCTGCACCTGGGGGTGTTTGTGGAAGAAGTCCTCCAGCTCTGCAGGGTAGATGTTCTCGCCTCCTCTGATGATCATGTCCTTGGAACGCCCTACGATCCTGCAGAAGCCCTGCTCATCCATTGTGGCAATGTCTCTGGAAGGCAACACCCAGGAAAGGCATCTCATCTCTGCTTTAGTGGGCTAGTCCACTAGCTCATTCATTCACTCAGTCACCAAACATTGACTGAGCATCTACTGTGTGTCCCCTGCTGCTCGAGACTCTGGGAGTCCCATCAGGAACAAAAGACACACTGTTGGAGCCTATAGCCTAGGTTGAAGGGGGAAAAATCAGCACAGCACCTATCCCATTCTGTCTCCTATTTCTATACTGGCTTGTCTTTGTCAATGACTTATTTTTTCATCATTTAGGCCTCAGCTCAAATGTTTCCAGAGGCCCTCTCTGACCCTGGTCTAAGAAAATCCTCTTTCTCTGCCACCACCACTTCCTCTCCTGTGACTCCATTTGATTTTTTTTTTTTTTTTTTTTTTTATGTCTGAAATTATCTGTCTTCTCCCACCAGACGCGTGGGAAGATGCAGGCCCCTTCTCATCTTGCTTCCCATGGATCCATCAGGTTGAGCACAGCACTGGCACATAGCAGGAGTGTACTGTGAATGTGCGTATCTAATAAATGACGCACACATAGGTGAGAGATTTAGCTCAGTGGTAGAGCATTTAGACTTGCAAGGCCCTGGGTTCAGGTCTCAGCTCCAGAAAAAGAAGAAGGAAGGAAGGAAGGAGGGGAGGAAGGAAAGAATGAATGAATGAAGGAAGGAAGGAAGGAAGGAAGGAAGGACTCAGTCTAGGGACTGGAGAGATAGCTCAACAGTTATGAGCTCTAGCTGCTTATATAGAGGGCCCTGTGTTTGATTAGTAAACAACTCACTGAAAACTGGCTCAGATTCTGGGTTTGCAAATGTGGTATGACCATGTCCTGGTGTCTCATCACTGTGAGAAGTAGGTTCACCCCCTGACACCCATTTTCACTTAGGGAAATTTTTTTGTTACTTGTTTTGAGACCAGGTCTCATGAGAGTGTCCTTGAACTTCTAATACTCTTGCTTCTACCACCCAAGCACTAGGGTTACAAATATATGCACTACCATGCCCAGAGTTATGTGACACTCGGGATAGAGCCCAGGGCTCTGTGCATGCTAGGCAAGTAGTCTCCCCACTGGACTGCATCCACAATCCATTCTTTTTTCCATTATTGGGCACAAGGTCTCATGTAGCTCAGGTTGGCTCTCAACTCACTGTGTAGCTACCAAGTGCTGGGATTACAGGTGTGTGCACCATGCCAGTTCATGTGGTGCTGAAGGCCATTTCTACACATGTACTAGGCAAAGGCACTAGCAACTAAGATACATCTCCAGCAAGCCCTGGGGGTATTTCTTGTTCTCTCCCGACATCTCCACAATACTGGGGATTGAACCTGTGGCTTCACACAGGGCATCCAAGAGCTCTACCACCAAGCCACAGCCTCAGACAAATTCTGGAAATCAAGTCTCTAAGACAAAAGCAGCCCCATGTCCTCTGTGTGCTAGTTTAGTTTTCCTAGCTCAGCCTCAGAACCCCAGGCCCACTTGGTAGCCAGGGTCCACAACATCTTGCCGCCGTCTCACCCTGTCCGATACCACTTGTCTTGTCCAACTGTTTCGAAGGTCTTCTGTGGCTCGTCCCAATAGCCCTGCATGACGCAATACCCACGGATGTACAGCTCCCCTGGCGTGTTCAGCTTGGTCAGCTCCCCGGTCTCCATGTTCACGATCTGGGCCTGAGACAGCAGGTCAGTTTCTGGCTTGAGCCTCCCATTCTCTTACTTTCCTGGGGAGCTTTGATTTCTTTCCCCCTACCCTCCCAGAAATGAAGCTGCTGGCTCTACTCATCCTAGTCCAGGGAAAGGAAAAAGAGGTTAGAATAGACCTGTCACCGTGCAGAGACCCACGAGGGGCCTGAACCGCGGAGAGGGTGTGTGCGTGTGCGTGTGTGCAGGGGTGCCTCATGCCATTGAAATTCCTGCTCTGGTTGTATTTTCACACAGGGTGCTGAGGACGGGGCTGGAGAGTGAGCAGCCTCTAAGGAGGCCTGAAGAGTACCAGGCCAGAGTCTGAGCCATGTAGAAGGGAAGGCCATTGTCTCTCCTCACTTAGGACAGCATGGCTGTGATCAGAGGACGGAGAATCGGAAATTCTAGCAGACAAAGAGCCATAGCCAATGTGCCAAGGAAAACTGGGTCTGGGCGCTTCCATGTCTGCACTTGGGGATGGGGAGAGAGACCTCTCCCTGGCAACCCCCAGAGTGCGTCCCAAAGAGGCACAGAAACTCCATAATAGCTGAATAAAGTCACATGGTTGGAGCCAGAGAGGAGCCATAGCTAGAAGTGTCCTGGGGCCTTTGAAGTGTAAGGGTCCTTCAAGGGACAGATAGCTTGGGGAAAAGAAGAGTTTATGCTCAGACAAAAGAAAAGCATGAGGCAGGGGCCTGAGGGAAGAAAGAGCTGCTTAGGGGGGAAAAAAGTCTCTGTGTTCTGGCTCATTTTTGAGACGGGTCTAGCTGCCCCAAGACAGACAGTGGGCTTGGCAAAAACACACCTCAGACAGGAAGGGTGGCTGAGGAGAGGCTCAGCTGGCGACTGCTCATGGCTGCTGTGCCAATTCTTTCCCTTCCTTGCTTCAACCCACAAAGCTGGGCCAGGTCCAGCAAGCCCCCGTAGCTGGGGCCCTCCACCTTTGAGGGAGCTGTTTGGATGTCTGATGGAAAGCCCCAGCTGTCCTCTGAGGGCATCCGTCAGGGGCTCACCTCCGTGTGAGGCATAATTCTGCCCACACTTCCAGCCTTCTGCTCCAGGGTGTCCTCCGGGTCGTTCATGAAGGTCACGGGACTGTTCTCTGTGGTTCCATAAACAACCTAGAGGAGCCAAAAAGACTGCCTGGAGGGAACTGAGTGACAGCCGAGGGCTGAGATAACCTACCCTGGGTAGCTGAATGGTGAGAACTGGGGTGAGGGGACAAGAGCCAGAGGTCAGGAGCCAGAAGGGCAGGTCTGGAGGGGGTGTGGGGGGCTGGTCTGAAACAAACTTGAGAATAGAAGCCAGTCCCTGATGGCCAGGGTTCTGCCACTCCCCTATGGCGCCTGTGGCTTCTGGCATCACCAGTACTCATCCTTCTTTTCTCCCATCTCAGGTTGATTCAGTCCTACCTTCTTGATTTCAGCCAGAGGCCCCATAAACTTGATGAGAAAGCCAGCCTGCTTTGCTGGATCTAGCTGGGGGTGGTACAGACACACAGACACAACTCCCCTCCTACCTGGGATAGTGCCTGTTCTTAGGGTGGGTGCCCTGCAAGCTTGGGAGACTTTCCTTCCTATGCATTTCTTTTCATCAAAACAAAAATCTAGCCAGAGCAGGAATTTAAAAGGCCCGTGGCACTTCCAGTGGTTAGGACATCCTGTGCAACAGAGAAACTAGCAGCCAGCCTAAATACCATCAGATTCTACCCCTCTCCCTTCCCTGATTCTAGAGGTAAGGGGTCAGAGGGTTTGGGGAAGAGCAGGCCTGGAAACCAAACTCCACAACTATGTACTGGGCGTAATGAGGTCTAGATACTTTGGACTCTATGAGGTCTCTGTTGGTGGCCTCCATCCTGTGTATCAGGTAGTATGGTTCTGGCATAGTTGGGGTATGGTTTCTCTACCACCTCCTAACACAGACAGCATCCCTTGCCAGGCAACCCAGAGCTCACCCTGGGCCAAAGCTGTAACCTGCCCCCCCCCTTCTCCACAGAACTCCAGACACTGTGGCTGGCAAGTGAACAGAAGTCGTGTCCACTAGGGCAGGGCTGCCCACAACCTAGCATGTGGCCCAGGTTAGTCTCCTGCAGCCAGCACCCCACCTCCCACCAGCTCACACAGTCCTGGGGTCATTGCCCAGGTCTGGCTTCTGCCAAGTACATATTGGCGCCATTAGGCCGCCACTCTGAAACCCCTTTAGGGGTGGCTCCTAACCACGGGGAGGGGGTGGGGATTCAGAGATGGGGATATTTGGGGGAGATTAAGGAGCGGAACGTACTCGTTCAGTGGCATGTGGTCTCCAGGTAGTGCTGCCAGTCCTGTGGTTCACTCCCCCCCACACACACACCAGTTCCCACTTTTCTGTTTAGCTTTCAGCCCCAGAAAAGGGGAACGAGGGTGCAAAGGGCAGAATAAGGAGCCCAGAACTAAGAGAGAGGGGTTATGGGAAAGCCCACAACAGGGGCTTCTACAAGTCTGGTGCCAGAGCTCAGAGAATGGGCAGAGGCAAGCGCACCAATGTCAACCAGAATCATCAACCAGCTCTCCCATCTCCTTGGGGAACTGAGGAGTCTACCCAGTAGCCTGACCCACAGCGGCTCTCATGCTTCGCCTGCAGGGCACAACAGCCCCATTAAAGCGCTGCTGGCTGGCTGACCGCCTCGGCGAGAAGCATCCGGCTGTCGGGCCCCACTTCCTCCCTGAATGGAGGGTGACCTGTCTGCCAAGGGTGTATGGGGGGAGGGGAATGTGGAGACTCAAACTTGAGCAAACAAATAAGTTCTGGGAACGCCTCCCTCTGCCCAGTGAAAATTCAGAGGTCCTCGACACCTATTATCCCACCACCAGAGTGGGGGTCCAGGCAGAGGAGGATAGAGAGGGATAAAACATAACATTTATGAGCAGAAAGCAACCGATTGGAGTTCAGGGGAAGGGTCCCCAACACAGCATGATTGCCTGCTGTGGAAAGAGCCCCCAGCCATCGAGGACAGGGGGCGCATTTCTGGGCGGGAGGGGGTTAAATCAGTGGCTTCGATGCTCCACGTAGTAGCTGCCTACGCTGCCAACTGCGGTCAGGGCTGCCCTATAAAGGGGCCGGGAGACCCAAGAATCGAGGACTTGCTGCTGCCAGCGCCTCGCCGCCGCAGCCCCCAGCCCTGGCTCCAGGGGTCCCAGTCATGGCCCGTGTGCTCTTACTTAGTCTGGGCCTCTTTGCCATCCTCCTGCCGGCGCTGGCCGCCTGCCCCCAGAACTGCCACTGCCATGGCGACCTGCAGCATGTCATCTGTGACAAGGTGGGGCTGCAGAAGATCCCTAAGGTGTCAGACTCAACCAAATTGCTCAACCTCCAGCGCAACAACTTCCCAGTGTTGGCTGCCAACTCGTTTCGAACCATGCCGAACCTGGTCTCGCTGCACTTGCAGCATTGCAATATCCGGGAGGTGGCTGCTGGCGCCTTCCGAGGCCTGAAGCAGCTCATCTATCTGTACCTGTCCCACAATGACATCCGGGTGCTGCGAGCTGGAGCCTTTGATGACCTGACTGAACTTACTTACCTCTATCTAGACCACAACAAAGTGTCAGAGCTGCCCCGGGGGCTGCTCTCCCCTCTGGTCAACCTCTTCATCTTGCAGCTCAACAACAACAAAATCCGAGAGCTGCGTGCTGGAGCCTTCCAGGGTGCCAAGGACCTTCGCTGGCTCTACCTGTCAGAAAATGCCCTCAGTTCCCTACAGCCTGGTGCCCTGGATGATGTGGAGAACCTCGCCAAGTTCCACCTGGACAAGAACCAGCTGTCTAGCTACCCCTCTGCTGCCCTGAGCAAACTTCGGGTGGTGGAGGAGCTGAAGCTGTCCCACAACCCTCTGAAGAGCATCCCAGACAATGCCTTCCAGTCCTTCGGCAGATACCTGGAGACCCTCTGGCTAGATAACACCAACCTGGAGAAGGTGAGTGCCTTCGCTGCAGAGTACTCCAGACTTCTTCTCAGCTGGGAGGCCAGCCTAGACCCTTCTCCTGGACTCCTTGCCCGCCAATTATCACCAAAATAAGGAGTCCTGCCACCCTATCCCTCACCCGGTCGCTATGCTTCTCAGCAATGGCCTCTCAGGCCTACTCCTTATAAGAGATGGGCTGTTCTGGCCTCACAAACGGCCTCTGGGGAGGCATTTGCCCCAAACCCCACAGTGAGCAGCAGACACCTCTTCCTGTTGAGCTTTCTACTCCTCCTCCAGCGTTTTCCCAGTCTCCCGTAAGCCTGCCATCCCATAAAGGAAGGTTTGTCTACTGAGACACCTTACAGAGAGGCAGACTCAGACTCACAAAGGGACCCTGTTCCAAGTGGGGGTTGGCCAGTGCGCTAAGGTAAAATGAGGGGCTGGAGGATGAGTGGGGGGTGCCTTTAGGAGACTTTTACAATACCCTCAGAGACACTGATGGATGCCCCATCCCTTCTGTGGGTCCAAACACCCAGTTTTATTGCAACTTTAGGTCATTTCAACTGAGTAGGGAAACCAAGGCTCGGAGACCAAAGGTTCCACCAAGGTGCAGGCTTATTGCTCCTGGGGCCAGTGAAGGGACACAAGCTCCAAAGCGCTCACAGAACAGACTATCTCACTGTCCCTCAGACAGCTTGTTGATTTTGTGTCTTCCCCAATCACTAGACCCCTGTCCCCTTCCTAGTCCTTCCTCCCCTGGAATGACCAGTCTGGCCAGGTGGGGCTATGTAGGAGCAGAATTCCTTTCTTGGTACTAGAAAAATCACCCTGGCACACGGTTTCAGCCAGGAGCCTTGGGAAGGGACCAGAAAAAGATAGAAGACAGTTTTGTTACTAGAGAATGTCACATCCCAACCTGGGCTGTGAGAGAGGTCACAGACAGGCAGCTGAGGGCAGAAGCTAACCTGGGCAGAGGCCAACATTGTCTGTGTAGACAGAGCCTTCTGGGTGGGTCTTCTTCAGACTGGCCTCACTCCAGCTGAAGGCAGACTACCCTGGTGCCAGAGTTGTGGGCACTAGAATAGCATATGGGGGCTGATTTGGAATGGAGAGCCCATACAGGAACTGTGACACCAGGGCTCAGAAGAAAGCACCCAGACGTTTCCTCTCGAGCTGCTCATCCTGGCCAAAGTCCCCACCAAGGTAGCTCCACAAATAGCATCTGGCAGAGGGCAGAGGGGCAATGAGGACAGTACTGGGGGAAATCCTGAGACCCTGGGGATGTGGGGAGCCTGGGCTCACTGCCCATCCCATCAAACACTGACCAGGTTCTCTGTGTGCCAGCCTGGGCTCTCCCACCCAAGCTCTGGCTGCTCCCCAGACCCAGTGTTTGTGCAGGGAGGGTGCTGCCTTGGAGGTGGGGGCAGGGTGTGGTCCTGCAGCTACTGTTTACTGGCTAGGTGACCCTGGCCAAAGGGCTGAACATTTTCCATCTTCATATTGGAAAGGACACCTTCCATCTCAAAAAGGGTGTTGTGGATTACATCATCTAGACAACTTGGTCATTCTGCTTAGAAAAGTGCAGCTCCTCAACAGACTAATGCTTGTGTCCAGGCTTCTGGCCTCTGAGGAGAGTTAGGAGAGCCTGGGCACTGGAGTTGGGGTTCCCTCACTTCTGCCTTCCTTACCTCCCAGTTCTCAGATGGTGCCTTCCTGGGTGTGACCACGCTGAAACATGTCCATCTGGAGAACAATCGCCTGAACCAGTTGCCCTCCACCTTCCCCTTTGACAAACTGGAGACCCTCACGCTCACCAACAACCCATGGAAATGCACCTGCCAGCTCCGTGGCCTTCGGCGGTGAGCATATTCCTCCATATAACCCCCGCTTTCTCCTTCACATGGTGGTCCCTGCAGTAGGACTGCCTGGACATACATCCTGGCTGGCTGCCTAGGAGGTCTGGGACTGAGTGGCTGTTTTCTCACTTGTCAAATGAAGATGACAGCTCCAGATTTTTCTAGGGCCAAGTCCATCCTAGTCACTGCCCCTTCCCCAAGCATATTCCCACTCTTTGTCTCCACAGGTGGTTGGAAGCCAAGACTTCTCGACCAGATGCAACCTGCTCCTCACCAGCCAAGGTCAAGGGGCAGCGTATTCGTGACACAGATGCCCTCCGCAGCTGCAAATCCCCCACCAAGAGGTCCAAGAAAGCCGGCCGCCATTAAAGAGGTAGGAGCCAGGCAGGGAGGCCACCACTGTCTGCCTTGGAGATTCCAGCCAGAATGCTGCTGTCTCCTGTGGTGCCACTTCTGGAGGGTTCTGGAGGGTTGATCAGAACCCCTGCCTTCCAGGAAAAGGAGGGGAGAACTGCGTCTCCCTCTCCAAGGGCGTGGCCTAGGATTTCCATCGTTCTCTGATGCCATAGGCATGATTGAAGACCTAACAACCATCCTTCCCTCACTGCAGGTCCTGTCCCAGCCAGTCTGGTGCCTGCCTTCTGCTGGAGAGACTACTGACTGCCCCCCCAACCATCCACACTTTCTCCCTCAGCCTCTGCCAATGCACAGAGCTGCCCACGTCTAGACACATCTTGGCAGGGGCCACTGGATTCTGTTACAACCCCAGCTCCACCTAATGGGGTCAAGGGAGGACACAGAGCCCCTCCCCAGTCACTGTGCCTGGGCTCTGCCATGGTTCCTCTCAGAGAAGCTACTGTAGAACTCCCTACCTACCCTGAGTCCATCAGAGCCAAAATGCAGTGGTCACTGGGATGATCACAGTCCTGTAATCACATTCCTCAGTTCCCTCCTTCCCTGCCATTTGGAAACAGATATCAGGCCTTTGTCACACCCTTATTGCCAGAAAGGATTTCAAGCCCATGTCTCCAGTCCCTACCTGCTAGGATGTGCTCACAGGGTACCAGTGCTTGGCTGAACATCCTCCCATGCTGCATTTCTGCTCCAGGTTTCTATAAACATACTTTATGTGTGTGTATAATATTCGTTCCTCACCAGGTGTTAGTTAATACGCTCACAGTTTTGTCTCACCTCTACCCCAGGCAGCAGAGAATCGCCTGGGGTTTCACCTCTGGGCTTCTGGTCTGGTCAGTCCCTACTCACTACAGGCCCGACCTTTCCCAGATGAGTGATAGCCACTCACCACCAGCTCCTGCATGTTCATCTTGCTGATGATGGCTCGGATCAACTCTGGGGGTGCTGGGGACCCAGCAATCACACCTGAATCAGGAAGAAAGGATGATGGGATTGGTGGTCCAGACCTGCAGTGCCAGCTGCTTGGGAGGCTGAGACAGGAGAACTGCATGTTCAAAGTCTGACTGGGACACAGAGTGAGTTCAAGACCAGCTTGGGTAGCTTAGTGAGCTCCTGTCTCCAAAACAGTCAACAAAGGGCTAGGGAGACAGTTCTATCATAGAACCATTGCCTGGCATGCAGGAAGGAGGCCCTGGGTTCAATGCTCGGTATCACAGAAAAAAGAGAAGCTAACACATTCCCCTGCTCTTTAGCCCACTAGCTCCTTTCATCTACTCACATAAGGGGAGAGTCCCTGAGCCTTGGTACAATACATAGAAGCTGAGGTTGATCCAGCATCCTGGGACACTTGGGAATCACCCCGCTTCTCACCCACATTCCCACAGCAACCCTTTCTACCTCCTACATAAAAAAAAAAAAAAACTGGTTTCATCAGGGTCAGGGGCAGCGGGGGTGGGGTGGGGTGAGGTAGGTGGGCAACCTGTCCCAAGCCTTGACATCTGTGAGCACACAGCAGGGAGCACACAATAGCTCACCTCCACGTATGGAAGAGAAGTCGTAACTGGAGAAGTCTGGCTGATTCAGAACATCCACAAACATCGTGGGGGTGCCATACAGGAAGGTGCCTCTGCACAAAGGGAGGCCTCAAGATTAGGCTTAGAAGTGAGAGGGAAACCCTTCCCTCCCCACCATGAACTCTCAGTGAAGGCCAAAGTTGTGGGGAACAGGAAGAAACTCAAGGTGGGACCTGGTCCTCTAGTCATCACCACCCCCCATCCCAGGGCTCCTGGCTGGAGGAAAGAAGCATCTCAGGAGAGGGGAGTGGGTCCAGGAGTGAGGATTTAGAGGGTCTCATTAGCCCACAGGTGGCTTGTCCGCCAATGCCCACTTCTCTTTGCTGATGGCTTCCAGGGCCTTCTTGCCATTGAAGCTTGGTGAAGACAGGAGGAGGGTGACACCATACATCACAGACACCATTGTGCCTCCCACGGAGCCCAGGCAGTGGTACAGAGGGCTGGGCAGGACCAATCGCAATTCTTCTGCAGTCTGGAGATGGAGACAGGAGGCTGGGTCTATCATGGAGTCAGTTCTTCAGCCAGCAGGGGGAGCCCAGCAAGCTGTCCCGCTCCTTGCCCAGCTGCTCCCTGCAGCCTATGTAAACCTCACCAGGGCCCACCTCAACCTCACCTTTGTGTGCATCTTCAGCCGCTGGCCTATCAGGATGGAGTTGTTTACAATGTTGTGATGGGAAAGAGTGGCCCCCTTGGGGCTGCCAGTAGTCCCCTAAGAAGATAAGCAAGTTAAAGCTTGCCTCTTTTCCTCCCATCTTTGGCCACTGCTCAGAGGAGCTGGGGGCTAAGAGTCCTAAGAGTAAGATATGGCTGGGCAGTGGTGGTGCATGACTTTAATCTCAGCACTTGGGAGGCAGGGGCAGGTGGATATCTGTGAGTTCCAGGCCAGCCTGGTCTACAAATCGAGTTCCAGGACAGGCTGTAAAGCTACACAAAGAAACCCTGTCTCAAAACAAAAACAACCCTCCCCAAACAAAACAAACCAAACAACAACAACAACCCCCACACACACACCCCAAGAAAACAAGCAAGCAAACAAACAAAAAGAGTAGGATATGGTTGTCCTGAATCCATCTCCCCTCTGTTTATGCACAGTGAGCTATGCAGGACCAAGTGTTAGGGTACGGGGACGCAAAAGAGAACATAACACCACTGTCTTTGTCCCATTCACATGGCATATAAGGTGGATCAGAGGACTCTAGCACTAACCAACTGCACGGACTGAGAGAAGCTCCCTCTCTGAGCCTGATTCCCTTTGATAAGGCCTGTGAGCCCTGCATCTCCCTCTCTGCATCTCCCCGTCCTGGGGCACCACTCTGTGCTGGAAGCCACAGGAGCCAGAAGGGGCAAGTCACACAAACACCAGTTGATGATTTTCTGAGGCACAGAGGAGAGCAGGAGGCCACAATCAAGAGAGACTGTTGTTCTCCTGACTTTCGCTACCACCTCCCCATCCCAGGGACCACATGGGCAGGGCACAGGTTTCATCTAGGCTCGGGACTGGAGAATGCTGTCCTACCGAGGTAAACTGGATATTGATGGAGTCGTAACAGGACAGGAATTGCTGCTGATACCGCAGCTGGGCCATATTCTGTTCCTTGCTACCGGCTGCCACCACATCATCCAGCAGCAGGGTCCCTGGCAAAGCGGCATCTACTGAGATGACTGTGGTCAGATCTGGGAGCCTGAGAGACAGAAAGGATGGTGACAAGTGACTAGAAGACAGCCCAGAAAGACATCAGCTCCACCTTGGGTAGGAGGTGAGAGTCTGAGATGTCATTTGATATCTCCCAAACCCAAGATACACCCACCTCTTACTCTTCAAGGCCCCTGGCTGGGCCTTTTCCAGCTCAGGACAGATCTGCTTCAGAATGTTGTAGTATTGCTGGGTTTTGAATTGCTTAGGGAACACAATGGCTTTGCAGCCTACCTGTGGGAGGAGAAGTCCCCCTACCTGTGATCAGCAGGAAGCCCCAGACTTAGGAGCCCTCATTAATCTCTTGCTCTCTTTCTCATATACCTAAATAGCTACCCTGACACACCCATGTAGCAACACACACACACACACACACACATACTCCACCCCCAACACCCACATTAGCTGACCCCTACCCTCTCTGTGGAGCCAATGCCTCCTCATGGACACATGTAACCTGAAGAGAGACACTCTGTAATATTATCCTCTGAACATGTCCTTTCTCATCCCATCAGCCCCTCTCTCTAAAAAACATCATGGGACATGCCCCTCCTCTCCAAGAGCAAGTGGCAGCTACCTTTTTGAGGACATACTCCAGTTCCGTGGCTTGGTAGGCTGGGTTCACAGACACCTGGAAGAACAGAGAGGGTGTGCCAGTGTCCCGGGCAGATGCTCCACTCTCACTACTTCCCTCAGGAAGGGTAAGGCAGCATCCTACACTCTGCCAGGGCTCTGTGGGGAACCTTGGGTGAAAGCACCTCCGAACCAGAACCCAGACAGACGCAGGATCGGTTCTGTATCTCAGAAGCGCTCCTTGAATGACATCCCTCCACACACCCGGTTGTGCCGGGTAAACCCCTTCTCACCAAGATGATGCCTGCCTGGGCAGTGGCCAACTGTATAAGCACCCATGCATAGGAGTTGGGTCCCCACATGCCCAGCCGGTCGCCCCTGCGGAGGCCAATGCTCAGGAGACCAGAAGCAGCTTTGTCCACCTGGTACAAACAGATGGGGAACAGCAGGTGAGTTGGGGACAAGCAGGAGGGGCCCCGACTCCTACTCTCTATCGTAGCCCAAGGGTCACTAGGAACAAACAAATTGCCAGGCCTCAGGGGACTCAACACAGTGAAGGCCAGGATTAGACATAGTAAACAAGCATTTCAGGAACCACTGGGACAGGACACTAGGCTACTTCTGCCTCTTGTCTCCTAAGGCTAACAGAAGTTCCCAGCACACTGCCCCATAGGCATGCACCCACTCTCCAGCTCCATGCCACTGTAACAGCTAGGGACCAGCAGCTGCTCTTGGAAAGTTCAAAGTCAGTACTTACCTCCTCCTTGAGCTGTGCAAAGTTCAGCCTGATGTTTTCATGGAGGATAACCAAGGCCTCTCTGTTGGGGAACTTCTGTGCTGTGGCATCCAGACACTCGCCCACAGTTGTATGGACGAGATGGGAGTTGGTGTGGCCCTGAATGTAACTGAGGCCTCCGATGGGCACGGGGTTGGTGTAATTCACTGTTCCAGAACTGTGGCAAGAGAAACCACCAACCTGGTACCAATACTCTGGCGCACCTAACTAATTAGCAGTCCAGCTGTTTACAATAGGTTGGTATATTGAGGACCAATAGGGTTTTTTATAGATTTTTTTTTTTTTCAGTAATAAGGTCTAATGTGTCCCAGGCTGGCCTCAAATTCACTATGGTTTAGCAAAGGATGGCCTTGAACTTTTGCCTCCACCTCCTGAGTGCACTAGCACACCCAGCTTCACTCTCTGCTGGGGCATGGACTACATCCTCAGGCCCTCCCCAGGTCCTGTGAACTTACTATCCTCACTCTTTTCCTAACTTCAAGTTTAACCTTCATGCAGCAGGATGGGAACAAGGCCATTCTAAGTTGGAGGCCAAGACCTCTTGAACCTTCCTGGAAATGATGAGGTGCTCAGGGGTGCCTGGGGAATCTGATGCAGAGACAGACAGATCTCACAAAAAGCTATTGCACCTGCACCC